GGAGTTCTAGAACCCGGCAGGCTGCTTTACAACACAGTCATTCACCCACTCACACACACACTGGTGGTGATGAGCTACATCGTAGCCACAGCTGACAGAGGAGAGTCTGTCGTACACTGACGCTTTGGTCCCTCCGAACACCACCAGCACACAACAAGGTTTAACTTTTTTTTTCTTTACTGCGCGCTGTCTGGCTGTGAAGGTGGAGGCAGGTGGAGCGTTATAGCTTCTGCTATAACACCACACCTGATACCGAAACTTTATTAGAAATATTTTTGGTTGTATTACATACTAACGGACACGGAGACAGAAGTGTAAGAGAAAGGGGAACAGAGAAGGATGAGGGGGTGGAGGGTGGGGTGGGGTTAGAAATATAAACAATGCATGGTTAACAAGAATCTGTTTCTAGACCTGCAGAAAGAGAGACATAGAGGAAAAAAAGGAGACACACAAAAATACAACAAGACCAAAACAACATCGTGTTGTACTGGGATGCTGGTACAATGACAAAAAAAAATCCTTGATTCCTATAGATGATCCTCAGAATTGATTTAACTGGACTGTTTCTGGGATTTGGGTTCTGTTGTGGACTGGATTTGATGCTTTGAGATCTGGCGCTATTAAATAAACCAAACTGGGTTGTATTTCTTCCACACATCTCAACTAGTAGAAGCTTAGTAGCATTAGCAACGCTACCAGACAGCTGAACTCCTCCAGGCTTGTGCTATTTGTGGAGATAAAACATCACGTTGATGAGCAAATGGAGTTGCGTTGTTGGTAGAAAATCAGAGGAGACATGTCCAAATATTCCTCCGGAACTGCGCTGCTCTGGGTGGCTGCATGTTGGAGTAGCTCTGTTGACTGTATGTAAGTTTTGCCTTTTCGTGGGCATTTTTTCTTCTAGTTTCTCAAGGAAAACTGTATTTTTTGGACATTTTACTTTTCTGTTTCTGGTGCTGTGAAGTTTGGAGGATTTTTACTGCTATTTTATTTTGTAGCTTTTTTCACTTTTTGAGCATTTGTTATGATGCGTAACCATGGCAACAAGCTGGTTTACAATCGGGAGCAGCTGATTAACATTGGAAAGGCTGAAATAATACCTCAACTGAAGCCACAAATCCAAAATGAGCTAAAACGTAAAAAGCGTGGGAGCAGATCGGGAGCAAAACGGAGACAGAGAAAGAGGAAATTCAAACCATCTCTTCCATCGATCATAATGGGCAATGTGAGGTCACTGGCCAACAAGATGGAGGAACTCCAAGCCCTTTCAAGGACTCAGCCAGAGTTTCAGCTGTTTCAGAACCGCTGGAGGAGATAATGCAAAGAAGGATCCTCCAGAGAGTCAAGAACATGATGGACAACCCTGAGCATTCTCTTCACAAGACTGTCCGACAACGGAAGAGTGTCTTCAGTCAAAGGCTTCTTCAGTTTGGCTGCAACACTGACCGCTACTGGAGATCCTTCCTGCCAACAGCCATTGTAATATACAACAACTCTTTGATGACTTGATTATTATTATTATTCTGAGCTACTACAGCAATCAGTTTCCCTCTGGGATTAATGAAGTATTCTTGAAATGAATTGAATTGAATATTAGCAGCGTTTCCCCTAGGAATTTTTCCAGCTGTGGCTGGGGGGTGGGGGTGGGGGTGGGGGTGGAGGATTGGGGAGAAATTATGACACGTCTCTAAATAAAGTAAAATTTTCTAGTGCAGAGTGGAGACAACCCATAGAAGCACTGATTTGATCTCATTTCAGAGAAAAATAGCACAGGTCAGATGCAACTAATAAATAAAATTACTAACAAACTCAGGAATCTTTCTTTGCTTCACTGTTCTGGTGCTGAAAATATCACTAATGCGGATCAAAGGAGATCCACAGATGAATGCACCTCTTATTTATTATTTGGAGACTACATTTACTGCAGCTGGCAGAGGCAGAGATTTTTCTATTGATACACGGAATTTACAGAATCATTTTAAATGTTAACTCATTCACTGCCAATGACGATTAAAGTTGTCATTTGCATTTTTTTACTGTGTGGGCATCGGAACGAGCCCCCGCACTGCTGATGCGAACCAGAAAAGCTTCTGCCGATCACAATTCAACAACGGATTATGAAAGAACGGATAAAGCTCAAAATGCACAGATTCTTCCTGATGTAAGAGGTGAGTCTACGCTTTGTTTTGGTTGTTCTGGCGTCGACATCATCTTAGCGCGCAATGTTCTGTGACTCAAAAAAAAAACTGTAAAAAAGGTGAGAAACGCTGGCAGCGAAGGTTTTTAGCGATCAGGAAACGGCTGGCAGCGAATGAGTTAATAGGGGAAGACTGCAGGAGGGAGCGGTAAAATACAGGGGGTCCCCAGCAAAAACAAGAAACTACGAGTCTGATGAAACCCGCTGGATTTCTATCAGGCAGTAACGGGGCAGCTCCAACGACCCAGTGGCTGTGCTGGGTCAATGTTATCGAGCCCAGTCCGGTACCGGCTCGGCCGTGAACGAGCCGAGGCGACGTCGTGCTCTGCTTAAGAAGAAGTGTCCAACGTGTTTTTACGCTTTCTCCGAGACATGTCACGTCGCTAAGTTGTTAGCGCCGTGCGCTAACACATTAATAGTGCAGCGTAGCCTGCTGGAGGTTTTAAGGGTTCAGATGAAACACCCGACCTCTCAGGCTGCTCACGCATCGATCTTAAGTTGTCGCTGTTGCGCTCACGCCGTAATACAGTATTAGATGCGGTTAAAGTCAGACAAGAGAAACTAAATAAATTTTACATGAATAAGTGATGCTTAGCCTGGTGGGGGGAGGAAAACCTGGCCTAGTAAGCACTGGAGGAAACCCTGTCAACACTCGTTTATCTTAATGCTATTAAAACATGTAAACCAAAAAGCATTATATCCACTGCTACATTTCTAATTTTAAACTCAGTAACTTATGCTGTAACTGCACCTTGCTCTGCCTGCTCCTTTCTTCTTGCTGCCCGCCCGCTGTGATCACAAGCGACAACATAGTAGTTCTCGCTGCTTCTTCGGGAAACAGCGCTAAATAAATAAATAAATAAAACTTGGGATCTTGTAGGCATGGCAGTAACATTTCAGCCGTGGCGGCGCGCCACGGCTACGCCTATGTAAGAGACACCCTGATTAGGAAATAAGACTCCAGATCCTGTCATCTGAAGCAACTTACTGCTCTGGCTCACGTCTACATACTCAAACAGGAGCATCTGAGCTTTCTTCCCCCCAGAGAACGACCTACAAGGCATTCATTCCCGCTATAGACAACTGCAAATGTATTAAAACCATGAATCAACTAGGGTTGTCACGGTGTGAAAATTTAACCTCACGGTTATTGTGACCAAAATTACCACGGTTTTCGGTATTATCGCGGTATTTTTTTTTAAACGTGCTACATTTTTACACGATTAAATAAACCCTGTATGTCAGGAAATATTGTCCTCAGTTTGTGTCTAAATTTAGCCTAAAATGTGTTATTTTGTAATTATGTTGTTTATTTGTTTACATTTTTCCCATTTAGTCTTTAAAATACCAATATTTGCCCATAACTTCTTATTTTTTGTCTGTTTGATGTCATCATTTTAAAAATATTAGATCAAACGATACTCAGTACTCCAAGTAGCCTTCTAATCAGATACTTTTTTACCCTTACTTGAGTAATAAACCCTTTATCAGGAAAGTATTGTCCTCGGTTTGTGTCCTTCCAGTGAGCTTTGCAGATGTGGGAAAATGTCATAAATTCATAATTATTCTCGGAGAGAGACCAACTCTTATCTGCCCCTGGGAGCCCCGTAATGCATAGCGTCATTTCAACATGGCGGCGTCCGCGACATGGTTTATATGCAGGTAGCGGCGCTGCGGCTGCTTTATATAGCGACTCGTTGCATTCTCCCTCAACCCAAATCCTCGGATCACGCATTTTAGCTAAAACGCTAACGTTAGCTTGCCTTGCGTTGACTGTAGAGTTGTGGGTGATGGTCACGCAGATGTGTCATGAGATTTGAAGCGTTGCTGCCTTTCACAGGCACTTTTTCTGCACGTGCTGCAAACAGGATAGCCGTCTTCTATCAGCTGTCCCTCGGCATTCTTCAAATATCCAAAAGATGCCCGTACTTCCCACTTGTCCTGAGCGCTGCCGTCTCCTCCTTTGGCCATTATTTCAGCTTTAGCTTCAAGAAAGTTCTGGTTGTAAATAGGGCTGCAACAAACGATTATTTGGATAATCGATTAATCGGATGGGGTCTCGACACGATTAATCGATTAATCGGATTACATGGGGACATTTTTTTAAACTGCTAGGGAAACTTTTTTTCTCTCCTTCCTTCACTTTATTAAACATAACATTATTAGAAAGCAGTTCAATAGCAGAAAAACAACATGTTATCACCTAAAATGTCTCACAGCTGCTATTTGTGACGACTGCTGCTTGTTGAGGTGTGCATGATTTGGGGCAACACAACGAATCGATGACGCAATTCGTTGCCAACGCTTTTAATAATCGATTTTCATCGATTCGTTGTTGCAGCCCTAGTTGTAAACAACAAAGTGCGCATGTGCCGCCGGCAACTTCAGCAGATGATACGGTGGATGGTAAGAGTCACCGCGCCTACACCGCGGCAATCCACCGAGATAATATAGTTTTTAAAAACAAGACGGTTATTATTATTGTCAACTTTTTTACCAGGGTTTACCACTACACCGGTTACCGTGACAACCCTAGAATCAAGTTGATCTTCAACAAAGAGTGTTTGCTGCCACGAGACATTTAGCAGAATTATAACCATCCTATTCACTCTGCTGTTGTGCCCTTAAGCAAGGCACAGGACTGCCTTGCTTTTACAGAGGGACGGCTGGTGCCGAATGGAGCCTGGCATCTGTCGGACCGCCCCTGCTGGTCACCAGGGTGCGATCAAAAGGTTAAAGACCACAGGTCAATCCATTAAGAACCTGTCTCAGGTTACAGTCCAACAGTAAACCGTCCCCCTACCAGGTGGAGGGTAGCACTGCAGTAGCCGCAGCAGCTTCACAGACAACCAGGGAGCAGCAACAAAGTAGTATGTGTAGTCCTGCAGGTCGATGGATGCAGAGGTCACAATCTGGGAAGGATAGAGACATTAGCTTTAACCTTTGACCTGGGAGACATGCAAGTGTCCTGTGTCAGATAGACCCACCCTGCTGAGCCTGGTCATAGCCAGTGACAGGGATGTTTTAAAGTCATCAGGGCTCTTCTGAGCCAGAGTGGTGATGAGGCTGGTGGCTGCTGTAACGACTCCCTGAAAAAGAGACAGGGATGTTCTGGTGACACCTGATGGTCTGGCTCCTCAGAGCTGCAGCTCCTGCTAACATATTCTCATTAGACCAAAATTACATCTCACTATCTTAAGCTGAATTCTGGCATACAATATATTCCTCAATATTTTTACTCCTGTAAAATATTTGCAAGTTAACTTCCTTCAAGCTGTCTTGATAAATAATATCATAAATTCATCAGTAGGTTGAATGCATAAACATGTATTTATTCTTGTCAAACACTTACCTTAGTGCCTATTCCCTACCATTCTGAGCTTTAGAAACACCGATACAACTTGAAGGATGGTTGGTGAGCGAAAGCATCTACGTCGAGCGGAGAAAAATCTTGCGAGCTCAGAGAGAACCACAGTTTGCAGTGCGTGGGAGTACACGAAAGGGAGTCTGTTGTATTGGTACTGGACTCCGTCAAAGGAGAAACGTAGGAATTTCCTGTGTTTTGGGATCACTGAGATGTCAGATGAGAATCAATCACCTGGGTGCACATAAGCCAGAACCTGTCTGATGGTTAGCATGCGGAAGTGTATTGCTGCCATGAAGGGGTGGAAAGAGGACAGATCAAGAATGAGCCTGACTCCTCCCGTCTTCTTCAGAAGTAGGGAGTAGAACCCCGAGTTTTCCTAGCCTCTCGGAAACCTGGAAATAGCTCCCTTCTTCAGGAGCTACAGCAGTCCTGACCTGAGAGCAAAGGACTGATCTGGTGACGTCAGTGTGGTCTCCACAATCCCCGCATTTGGGGGAGGACGAGACTGAAACTGGGGCTTGTGACCATATTGACGATGTTGTGTATCCAAGCGTTCATGTGGCAGGTAGGTGCCTATTCCTGCATGATGAGAAAGAGGACACGTGTGCAAAGCCTGGGCCTAACTGTATTTTCCATAGTGCAGACTTAAGGATATCGGCCAGAGGCAAAATTCCTTTGAACGGCATGTGTAAGGAAGAATTAAAACCTCAGATGAAAAAGGTTTTTGGATTTTGACGGCTGGAATTGTAAGAAAATCTGATGTTTGTGACCGGCGCGGGAAAAACAGAAACTAACTTCCGGTCTAAGCCCTGGGCAGCAGTTGACGTTTCACATGGAGCTCTGCTGAAACAGCTGTAGTAAACAACGCCTGACTCCGCTGTTTCTGCGTTAGCGTTATAGCAGAGAACAATGTGTCATCAGTCAGATGAAGCTTCTGATGCCTCTGCTAGTTTTTTCTCTGGGATACGGCGACGAGAACGGATGTTAGATTACTGGAGAAGTTCAACCGAACTCCGACCCCGCCAGCTGGATATCACTACCAGAGGTGCAGACATGTTTTAGACCGCTTGACTCAGAAGACCTGCGACCTGATTTGGACATAGAGGAGGATTCTGTTCATCTTCAGAACCAAAATCGGTACAGTTTGTTTACTTTTCTTAAATATTTCATTTCTGTGCTCCACTGGGAGCTCTAAGCTGACGAGTTCTCAGCTGGTCTTAGCTCCATCATGTGTCCCAATCTAGTTCAGTAATCTACAGTTTTACTGCTGTGTGTTTTTATTGATATAACTCTGGAAAATATTTAACCGACAATTTACCGAATAAATCTTCCTGATGCTGGAGTAACTCCTTAGCTCAACTCGTTGTTTGCACTAATCCAGGATGTCATGGAGGTTTTAATGTTGAAATATAGAGATCATCTTTTAGATTATATGTGTGTGTGTGTGTGTGTGTGTGTGTGTGTGTGTGTGTGTGTGTGTGTGTGTGTGTGTGTGTGTGTGTGTGTGTGTGTGTGTACTTTTTAAGGTACCGACCGAATTCCACAGTACCGACCGAGCACCGATCCACGTCATTTGAAACGGTGCCTCGTTTCGGTACCCGTCCTTCATAACGAGAACTTGCCAAGACAGCTGCGCATGCGCAAGAGCGTTATGTCATCGGTCGCTGCGAGCCAGTTGTAAACAGAGCAGCATGGTAGAAAGAACGCACGCTAACGCTTGGGTCCACTTCACTAAATGTGATGGGTAACTGGGTGATGATGAAACCAGCGACAACGATCTAAGTGAGACATCCTCATCTTAATCTGCTCCGGTAGGTAAATAAAAAAATGATATGTTAGCTTCCGTTCCGCTAGTGGCGTGTTCACTTTCTCCTCGGAACTCAGATTTTCCGATTAGAAGAACACGAACGCGCTCTAAAGTTTGGCTTCACTTTACTAAATGCGACGGGTGATTGGGTGAAGATGAAACCAGCGACAACGTTCTAAGTGTGAGGCATCATCGTTTTAATCTGCTCCAGCAGCTAAATAAACTGTTTAAGATAGTGTTAGCTTGATATGTTAGCTTCCATTGCCACCGTTGTTATCAGCTAATGGTGCGTTCGCTTTCTCCTCGGAAATTCTAACTTCCCAGTAGGAAAAATCAAATGAGAAAGGACGGCAAAAGGAATGAAGACACACAGTAAATTTAGTTCACAGTAAAGATGTTTGCTTCAGTTTAATTATCAGCTTATAAAACTACAAGGACGATGTTAAAATACAAACTTGTATGTTATTTATCGTGATATTTATCAAATATGGTTATATATTGAGAAAAATATATATTTAATTATAAAAGAGAATTAAAATATTAAACACTCAAAAGTATCTAACATTGGTACCGTTAAGTACCGGTATCGATTCGTAGGTACCGGGAATTAGTACCGGATCGATTCAAATGTCAAAGGTACCCATCCCTAGTCAACAATGACAGCAATACTGAACAGCAGAACATCTTATATAGCAGTCATAGTTAGCTCGGGTTCAGCCAGATCACGCCCAACATGCCGCTAAGCACTCCTAAGAATATTTTCCGTATTTGACCGTTAATTTTGACTGAGAAATCTCAAGGCTGCTGGTCATTCTGACAGACTTGAATTACCCCGACGCATACAGGTGGGCAGACATTTTAAACATTACGCACAGAGAGCATCGCGGAAGTAACTAAATCAATCAAGAAATTATTCCCATCAGAACATCTGAGCATTGTCTCAGACTTTGACACCATGATGAGTGCAGCTCACTATCAGCAAGCTGAGAAGCTGTGAGAGCAGTTCGGCGCGTCTGTGGGTCACAGCCCAGCAGCAGAACCAGAACGCAGCAGGTGAAATGTTCCTACTTGGGGAAATTGTTTAATTAATATGTTGCTGAACACGCTGGTAAGCTTGTTTAGATGAAAAATTAATGACAAATGAACGAAAATTAAATAGTAAAATTTTATTTATTACCCATCTATCCATCCATTGTCTTCTGCTTATCCAGAGTCGGGTCGCGGGGGCAGTAGCCTAAGTCAAGAGGCCCAGACTTCCCTCTCCCCAGCCACTTGGGCCAGCTCCTGCGGGGTAATCCAAGGCGTTCCCTGGCCAGGTGAGAGACATAGTCCCTCCACCGTGTCCTGGGTCTTCCTTTAGGTCTCCTCCCGGTTGGACGTGCCCGGAAAACCTCACCAGGGAGGCGTCCAGGAGGCATCCTGACCAGATGCCCAAGCCACCTCAACTGGCTCTTCTCGATGTGGAGGAGCAGCGGGTCTACTCCGAGCCCCTCCCGAATGACTGAGCTTCTCACCCTATCTCTAAGGGAGAGCCCAGCCACTCTTCAGAGAAAACTCATTTCGGCCGCTTGTATCCGCGATCTCATTCTTTCGGTCACTACCCAAAGCTCGTGACCATAGGTGACGGTAGGAACGTAGATCGACCGGTAAATCGAGAGCTTCGCCTTCTGACTCAGCTCTCTCTTCACCACGACAGACCGGTACAACGCCCGCATCACTGCAGATGCAGCACCAATCCACCTATCCATCTCACGCTCCAGTTTTCCCTCACTCGTGAACAAGACCCCGAGATACTTAAACTCCTCCACTTGGGGCAGGACCTCATCCCTGACCCGGAGAAGGTATTCTACCCTTTTCTGACTCAAGACCATGGTCTCAGATTTAGAGGAGCTGATTCTCATCCCAGCTGCTTCACACTCGGCTGCAAACCGCTCCAGCGAAAGCTGAAGATCACGTTCTGATGAAGCCAACAGGACCACATCATCTGCAAAAAGCAGAGACCTGATCCTCAGGCCACCAAAACAGATGCCCTCCACACCTTGGCTGCGCCTAGGAATTCTGTCCATAAAGGTTATGAACAGAATCGGTGACAAAGGGCAGCCTTGGCCGAGTCCAACTCTCACTGGGAACGAGCCCGACTTACTGCCGGCAATGCGGACCAAGCTCTGACACCGGTCATACAGGGACCTAACAGCCCGTATCAGAGTGCCTGGTACCCCATACTCCCGGAGTACCCCCACAGGGCCCCCCGAGGGACGCGGTCAAACGCCTTCTCCAAATCCACAAAACACATGTAGACTGGTTGGGCAAATTCCCACGCACCCTCCAGGATCCCCCTAAGGGTGTAGAGCTGGTCCAGTGTTCCACGGCCAGGACCAAAACCACATTGCTCCTCCTGAATCTGAAGTTCAACAATGTGAGTCTGTAAATAGAAATAAAAGCTATACAATACGTGTGTAACTTAAGACTGTGAACATGGTTGAATAGGTGATTATAGCAGGAGTGTGAATCTGGTCACGAGGGCACACAAACTGCTCAGCCAGAGCACATGCTCAAAGCAAGCTCCTCTGTTCACCACCAGCTAGAAAAATGGTTGCTCCTTTTAGAAACCTAAAAACCTTTAAAAGAAAGAAATGACTTTACAACTTATAGGTTGAAATAACCAAATGTGTTGAATGAACAAGATGTTTAAATCAAATGTTTGAATAATCTGTGCTTTAATCAATGATGGGTTTAAAATGGATATTTTTCTTGCAATGATCCATTTCAGATCTTAACGACTCCAGACCAGTATGTGTGTGATTTAACAAGTGAAAATGTCACTATGTCAAACATAGAGCTAGGTCATCTGAGCTCTTTCTCTAATGGAGAGAAGCTCCTGGAGCTCTGCATCGCTCCAGTTCATCATCTCAGCTGATTCTATTAACGAAAGTGAAACTTACAGCCCGTGTTTACTTTCAATTTCAATATAACTGCCGGCACAGATTTCCACAATGCCACCATGGCACTTTCATAAGACACACCATGGCAGCAGTATTAGGCTGATTAGCATGGTGTGTCTTCAAAAGCAGGCTAAACCATGACATGTGAGGTCCCCCAAGGCTATATTCTAGGACCACTGCTCTTCAATCTCTAGATGCTCTCCCTGGGTCAGGTCATACTTAATAACAACATCGCCTATCATAGCTTTGCTGATGACACCCAGATCCACCTAGCCCTATCGCCTAGTGACTGTCATACGCTGGACTCACCGTCAGTGTCTAGAGCAGTAAACGACTGGATGCAGTTAAACTTCCTTCAGTTAAACAAAGACAAGACTGAAGTTATTGTCTTTGGCAACAAGAGGGATAAAATGGATGCTATTGCTCAACTAGACTCCAGGGGAGTAAAGGCAAAGACCCAGGTTAGAAATCTTGGTGTCATTATTGACTCCGACCTCAGCTTCTCAGGACATATGAAGGCTAGAACTAAATCAGCGTTTTATCACCTTCATCAGATATCAAGAGTCAGAGGTCTCATGTCCAGACCAGACTTAGAGAAACTTATTCATGCTTTTATTTCTAGTCAGCTGGACTACTAGCCTGGCAAGCCAGACTAAATAAATGTATTATTTAGTCTGGCAATGCTCCATTGACGGCTCTCGGTTGTGGGGCGGGTTCTACCGTTGTCTTTCAAATGATCTCCGCATTCCACTGGACAATGAATGTGACATATTCTTGTTTCACTCTGTTGCATCATCCCACCCACCAGGCATATAGAGTGCCCTGATTGGCCTACAAAGCAGATAAAGCTCTGTGATTTGTTCACTAATCAGATAGAGCACTATGACTGGCCCACCATTATGGACCAATCACAGCTCTTTATGTGTTTGAAACCCCTCTAGAGAGCTGTGATTGGCTAGCCAGAGTCCTGGTAGGAGCTGCGGAGGTTCGAATGGAGCATGCCTAGACCAAACTTTGCAAAGCAAGAATTTGGTCTAGTTCACTAGGCTACTGGACTACTGCGATGGTCTCCTAACGGGTCTTTCCAAAAAAGCCGTGAAGCAACTGCAGCTTGTTCAGAACGCTGCCGCTAGAGTCTTAACAAGAACTAAGAGAACGGAGCACATCACTCCTGTTCTTAGATCCCTACACTGGTTACCAGTATACTACAGAATACATTTCAAAGTGCTCCTACTAGTTTATAAATCACTCAATGGCATGGGACCAAAATACATGTCTGATCTCATTCCTGTAGATCCACCCAATAGGGCTCTGAGATCCCTTGGTAATAATCAGCTGGAAGAACCTCGGGTCAGTACAGAACAGGGTGGAGATGCATTTAGTTACCCTGCTGCTCACGTATGGAATCAGCGTCCCCTGGACCTCAGATCTGCCCCACCCTAGTGTTGTTTAAAAACACATTTAAACCCCTCATGTACTCATCAGCCTTTGAATGAGTTGTTCATGCTGCATCATCTCCATTGTAATCTGTGATGTAATTGCTCAACCTTAATTCTGTCTTTTCCTTTTAGCTCTAAATTATATCTGTGTATATTTTTGACTTGTGTTTGTTGTTGTTGTTGTGCCATTTAATGCTAATTGTAAAGCACGTTGAATTGCCCTGTTTGAAATGTGCTCTATAAATAAAGCTGCCTTGCCTTGCCTCAGGACCAGAGGAGGCGAAGCTTCTTCTGTGACGGCTCCAGCTCTGTGGACCAGTCTGGCCCTGAGTGTGAGAGCTGCTCAGACCTCTGGCCTTTTTAACTCTGCTGAAGAGACTTTCCGTCTCTCCTTGTTTCACTTGACAGCTCTGAGCACGTGTTCAGAACTGCACTTTAGGGAACAGCTTTCAAAATGGCATGTTTAAATCCACTGGACTTGAAAAACAACATGTATGTCTTGATTAACAATCCCTCCATCAAGGTCCAGCACCAGCGTGGGGTCTTGTCCAAGTGGGACATGCCCAGAGGACCACCAGAGGGAGGCAACCAGGAGAAATCCTGCTCAGATGACTACACCACCTCAGCTCCACCCCAGTCTCCTGTACGTCCTCTATGAGGCTCTTTTTCTCAACAGTTCTCCGGGTTTCCTGACCAGTTTGAGGACCGGAATTTGTTTGGTTCTGTTCAACAGACTGGAGCAAGGAGTCACAGGATAAGCTTTTTTCTTTATAGCCACCACAATAAACCGTGTGACCTTTCTAGATGAGCCGTCTCCCTGCACTGTCATCATCCCCACATTATTAGGTTTAATCTACTGATGCTCCACAGAACAAACACAGGTCTCACACTGAGACTCTGAGTCAGCAGACACGTAATCCTACAAGTCACGATCAATGTTGGGGAACCAACATCCTAGCGTCCCTGTTTGAAGGTCTTACCAGGTGCTGATCGTTCAGTAGATGAACCACTCGCATGGTCCATTCACCCATCGGCAGCAGGTCTGGAGACGTCTTGTTGAGTCGTAGCAGACACAGCGCTGCACTCTGCTTCACGCTGTCCACCGTGTCCCTGGCAATCACATCACAAGTCCATGAGTCCGGTCAGCTGGAACCCATGCATGACAAAAGCACCAAGATCTGAGCTCGTGAAGACCGTTAGCAATCATAGCTGTGGCAGCCCTGCATCTAGCATCTGATGGACGATGAGCTATCTGAAACAAGCCACACAAGTGACTTGACTTTACTGTCACGTTTTATCCAGAGCAGGCCATGACATGAATGGAAAAAGGACATGGGTACATTTACAACAATGACCTGTACTTATACAGCACCTTCCAGAGATCTATGACCCCCCAAGGCCCCTTACTACACACACAAACCAAACCAGTTTAGCACTGTCCTTCACCTACATGACAGACTGATGTACTTCCTGTTCTACGGTTCCTCTCTAACTGATCCTCTCAATGATCTAGTAGTAATCCGCTCTGAACTGCCTCCAGCCCCAATGGGCCTACAAATTTAAAGCGGTTATCCACCTCCCGTGGAGTTGGTGAGAGTATTTTTCCAGTCTAATCACCAGCATTCATCAGTTCCAGACTGGAATAGTTTTTGGTTCTGTACAAACCCCGCCACCAGGATCCTGGGAATTTCAGAAGCAAACGCCTCCGCCATCTCCCTGCTCCCCACATTAGCGATGCAGTGCAGAGCCAGGTTCATGAAGGTGGGGTTGCGGCTGGCGAGGTCATTCCTGATGGCGTTGTTGATCAGACGAATCAGGTCACTGTTACAGTTTACCAGCACCGAGATGAACAGGTAACCCTGGAAAATCCAAAAATAACCGCCACGTTCAGCTGGAGCACTCTGAGAGGGAGCACGCATCAGTGAGCCCTCTGACATCAACACACACCATGAGGTCACTTACGATTTGCTTCTCCGTGTATTTGTTGGAGCTGAGCAGGTTGACCGCCTCCATGTGTCCAAAGTCGATATCATGGCCCAAAAGGAAGATGAAGAGCAGTTTGCAGACATATTTCTTTTTACTGTAGCCATCCAAAGTTTTGTCTCCTGTAAACACAAACATATCCATAGCAACACAAAACCATAAATAAATATCTTTAGAAATGCAAATGTCCTGATGCAGTTCATCACAAGCCAGTGTTCAGCTTTTATACCCAAACACCAGCAGTAACAGCTTGTTAAAGGTTGAATATGGAACACGAACACTCTGGTGACATCTGGTGGTTAGAGGTGGTAGCTGCAACAACAGAACCCATTATCCAGCCGCCGGGTGTCGGTTCACTACTGATACCTTAAGTGACCAGTCAGCACCATGTCCAGTGATGGCCTCACCTTCAGCCACAGAAACCCCCACACACCAATACACCGTTTCCTAAGTTAATAGAAACGCACTTCAGTTTATATAATTGTATTTGACACAATTGAAATGCATTCTGTTCTAATTGTAGGGCTCACATTTAGTTACCTTTTGTAAATTCAACTCTGTCAAACACTGTTTAATCTTTGTTTTCTTTTTGGTGCTGGGGGATTCCATGGACCGAGTCTGGAAGTGTGGAGCGTTGGGAGCGTCAGCCTGCCTGCTAGTCTCACAAGAAGGAAGTGCTGATTGGGCTGTGCCAACGTGAGTTCCACCGTGGGGGAAGACGACACCTATTTGTTGTCATTTCTGTATGAATTATGTAAACTTATAGTTTGTTTTCTTTTCATAACTTTGTATTTACTTTTGGATTTCAGGTTAGCTCTTAAATTTGGTTAATTAGGTGTGTGTGTGTGTGTGTGTGTGTGTGTGTGTGTGTGTGTGTGTGTGTGTGTGTGTGTGTGTGTGTGTGTGTGTGTGTGTGTGTGTGTGTGTCCTCTAGTGGCTGGTATAGGTAAACATGAACCCAGAGTCGTGCACGACAAAATTACATTTAGAGGTATCATTTTAAAAAATATATACCTTTTAATTAAAATGTTCCATATTCCACCTTTAATACTAATTACCTTAAATGCTGTTTGTTTAACAAACAAGGTTCCAAACTTTCACACATCTTCTGTGATTTTGTTTGAACAAATTTCATAATGGAATCACAGGCGCCTTCTTAAGCCTGGGACTTCTTCAAGACGAAGCACATGATGCTGTGTGACTCCAATGGGAACCGCTCACTTACCTTTAAACTTGGAGCGGATGTTGGCCAGTTCTTTGTTTATCCTCTTAATCTCTGCCTCTTTACTTTTACCTGTGAATAAAGCAAATGTATGAGAACTTTACGCTGCATCACAGATACCTCATTATACTTACTCTCTCTGTGTGTGTGTGTGTGTGTGTGTGTGTGTGTGTGTGTGTGTGTGTGTGTGTGTGCGTGCGTGTGTGTGTGTGTGTGATATTAAACTACGTAGTTTCTCATTCTGGGAGTTATTCCAGAAAGCGAGTTTAAAACATCGAGGATCTCCTGATAAATCCCTGCTCGACAAAGTGCTCCTGTCCCCCATCCCAGTTTTGCCGGCTCCAGCTACCAATGAGCAATGTTAGATGCTAGATAAATGAGAATGGAAGAAAAGAACAGAGCTTCCTTCTTCATCTAGAGCACATATGTCAGAGTCAAGGCCCGCGGGCCAGATGCGGCCCACGGAGCATTTTTATGTGGCCCGCGAGATAAATATCAAAAATATATTAAAACTGGCCTGCTGGACGATTTTACTGCAAAGACTACAACTCCCATGATGCTTTGCAGCGCCAGCGCGGAGCAGACGTGCCCCCTCCTTTGTGTTTTTTCAGCGCCGAGGCAGTCTGAGGTAGTTGGGTGTCTGCAGCTCCGCTGTCTGGGACGAACTACACTCCTCTCGTTCAGCGCCGAGTTCAAACAGCTGTTTTCTGACGTTGAAGCCCAGAAACGGAGATTCTAGCCGCTCAGTAATGTGTTCACGACTGAAAGAGAAAGTTTTTCAACTAACGTCCAGACAGAGCTGATATAACTCCAGCGAGCAGCGACACGCTCAAACCAGCACGACTCTGTGGTTGTGTTTCCTCCCCGACACACAACAACGTGGTCAAGCTGCTCAGACATGTTCATCAGCACAAACCTATGTGAGCACCTGTTGTCATCTAATGTTGTCGTTATTATGATGAAGATGAACAAAACAACAGGAGTCTCCTCCTCAGCTCAGATCAACCCCATGATGCAGGTATGTGGCTGGAACAGGTGAGCATCACAGTAAACCAGTGGAGCAAACTGAGCTTTAAATATGTTGGTTTGATGCTCTTTTTCTGCTCCAAAACATGAAAGTTAACAGGTGAGATGTTGCATTTTCATTTAAGATAAAATGATATTTTATTTTGTTGTTGGCCCGTGAGAAAAGATTTAACCTACAGTAAACAGGAAGTGGAAAGGCTGCAGATAGATGAATAGAATAGAAAATCCCTTTATTGTTCCTCAGTGGGGAAAGCTAGACGTCACAGCAGCGATGACACGTATTACAGGAGAAAAAAGGAGAATAAAAATAAGAAAAATGAATAAACAAGAAAACATAAATCCTGAATAGATTTTAAAAATGCTGATTATACCACAAGTAATGAATACCACTGATGCCTTTTATTTAAAACTGACTTGCTCGTGTGTAATTTGGTTATTCCACATTCAGTGTTAATGCAGAAATAAGTTTGTTTCCAAATTTAAAAGTTCAAAATTGCATACATGTTGATAAAGAAAATGTGCAAATTTGCCGTCACTTTTTCAAAAATATTAAGTTTGGCCCTCGACTCCGTCCCAGAGTTTCATTTCTGCCCCGTGTGAGTTTGAGTTTGACACCCCTGATCTAGACGGAGCAATAGTTACTCATTCATGCCTACGAGGACTACAAAGATATCAAAACTAAAATAGAGACCATGAGCTGTTGCTTTGTAGCCGGTGCCGTTTAGTTAGAACGCAGAGTTTGCAGAGACCTGCCAATAAAGCTGAGCTCTAAAAGCCAACTCCGAGTTCCATCTTTTACATGGTGTCAGAAGTGACACGGACAGCTACACATCCTAGAGGACTTGCATCCGAACGGCGGCACGGCGAAATTGAACCCACCGTCGAGCTTTATTTTTGAGAAACCAGCGGACTGGCCTGACTGGAAGCGGAGGTTCCAGCGCTACAGAATAGCCACAAAGATGATGGTCCGATGCAGGTGAGCTGCCCGATATATGCGATGGGCAATGAAGCGGAGAAGATTTTTCAGTCATTTACGTTTGCTAGAGAGGGGGACAGTGATGACTTCGCTATTGCTTTAGAGAAGTTTGATGACTATTTTTTCCCGCGAAGGATCATTATCTACGAGCGAGTCATCAGCGAGTCCAGTGGCAGAGAGCTTTATCCGTGCAGTGTATGAACGATCTGAACACCGCGAGTTTGGAACGTCAAGGGAAGAGAACATCCGCGACCGTATTGTTGTGGGCTGCAGTTAATGGAGGGTCTGACCCTGACGCAGACAGTTCAGACTGTCAGGCGGTCTGAAGAGGTTACGACCCAAGTGAACCAGCAGGGGGACCCGGTGAGATCTGTGGAGGAAGTTCACCATAAAAAGAAGTTTACTCACTGGAAAACACCACAAAGTAGGACACACGCACATATGACATGGGATAAAGACAATAAAAGAACTAAAGAAGTGAAATGTGGGAGGTGTGAAAAAGTGCAGCATGGCAGAGATGTCAGGTGCCCCGCGATGAAAGCTGTGTGTCACAACAGAAGGTCAGTAAATGAGGTCACCGAGACTCCAGATCAGGGGAGTCAAACTCAAACTCACACGGGGCCGAAATGAAACTCTGGGACGGAGTCGAGGGCCAAACTTAATATTTTTGAAAAAGTGACGGCAAATTTGCACATTTTCTTTATCAACATGTATGCAATTTTGAACTTTTAAATTTGGAAACAAACTTATTTCTGCATTAACACTGAATGTGGAATAACCAAATTACACACGAGCAAGTCAGTTTTAAATAAAAGGCATCAGTGGTGTTCATTACTTGTGGTTTATTCAGCATTTTATAAATCTATTCAGGATTTATGTTTTCTTGTTTATTCATTTTTCTTATTTTTATTCTCCTTTTTTCTCCTGTAATACGTGTCATCGCTGCTGTGACGTCTAGCTTTCCCCACTGAGGAACAATAAAGGGATTTTCTATTCTATTCATCTATCTGCAGCCTTTCCACTTCCTGTTTACTGTAGGTTAAATCTTTTCTCACGGGCCAACAACAAAATAAAAATATCATTTTATCTTAAATGAAAATGCAACATCTCACCTGTTAACTTTCATGTTTTGGAGCAGAAAAAGAGCATCAAACCAACATATTTAAAGCTCCGTTTGCTCCACTGGTTTACTGTGATGCTCACCTGTTCCAGCCAGATACCTGCATCATGGGGTTGATCTGAGCTGAGGAGGAGACTCCTGTTGTTTTGTTCATCTTCATCATAATAACGACAACATTAGATGACAACAGGTGCTCACATAGGTTTGTGCTGATGAACATGTCTGAGCAGCTTGACCACGTCGTTGTGTGTCGGGGAGGAAACACAACCACAGAGTCGTGCTGGTTTGAGCGTGTCGCTGCTCGCTGGAGTTATATCAGCTCTGTCTGGAAGTTAGTTTGAAAACTTTCTCTTTCAGTCGTGAACACATTACTGAGCGGCTAGAATCTCCGTTTCTGGGCTTCAACGTCAGAAAACAGCTGAGTGAACACGGCGCTGAACGAGAGGAGTGTAGTTCATCCGAGACAGCGGAGCTGCAAAGACCCAACTACCTCAGACTGCCTCGGCGCTGAAAAAACACAAAGGAGGGGGCGCATCTGCTACGCGCTGGCGCCGCAAAGCATTATGGGAGTTGTAGTCTTTGCAGTAAAATCGTCCAGCAGGCCAGTTTTAATATATTTTTGATATTTATCTCGCGGGCCACATAAAAATGCTCCGCGGGCCGCATCTGGCCCGCGGGCCTTGACTCTGACATATGTGCTCTAGATGAACCTACCTCATATTTTTTAGGTTCTGTGTGTGATAAAAATGAGAAAAGTGATTCATGGACTGTAAAGGTGGCAGTAATGGAGCCCCAGTAGAATTTAAAATTGACACTGGCGCTGATGTAAATGTGATAAATGAAGAGCGGGGGGGGGGGGTTGTTAAGAGTAACATCTACCTGTGGTGTCCGTGAGGGTGCACGGGGTTGGTTAGCGTTCCTCCCAAGATATGTATATAAACACGTGTTTCTATGGTTCCTCCTATGTCCGTCACAGCCAAGCCCCCACAATGCGGCTCAAAAATTGAGGCCAACCCGGAAGTACCAATAACTGCAGTTCCACTCTCATCCACTAGGGGCTGGTGTCAGAAGCGAGCAAATCCTCATTGACTCCCATGTTAAAAATAACAATTTCACAGCAGAAATAAACATGTTTACAGCCTGGTACCAGAACATGTTTTAGGTTTAAATGATCTAGTTTACACTCATGACAACTCTGAGGGGGGTGAATGTTTTTCTCACTCTTCTGTTTAAGTGTATTAAAAGCCTAAAATTCTGTATAATTAATGAGCATCAGACCCACGTGACCACAGAGCTAGCTCCGTGGAAAGGCCTCAGTAGAGCCTCGGTCTGGCCTGGAAACTGTTCCGGGATTTTGAGTCTCTGTGTTTGTGTATTCTTGTTTGGATATTTTTGTGCAATTGTTGGACAAAATGACTTGCTGTGGCATTAATTGCACTAATAGAGCGTCCAAGGAGTCTCCACTTCCTTTTTTTCGGTAAGTAAAATTATATTTATGTATTTTAGGTCACTGCCGAGCTGAGCTTAGAGTTTAACATGTACTGTTTAACCATGAAATTTAAATGTAATAGGGTAAACCCCAGTGCATTTAACATAATGCTGCACTTTAGAAAATGGGTTGCAATATAACATGTTGGTGGAGCTGGGTTCCGACTATCGGCTTGTGGAGCTCTCGGGAGACCGATGTTTTCCACCCTTATCCCCTCCCCGCAGCACGGTCCATCTCTGTCTGATCGCGGCTTCTGTCTGCTGCGCGCGGGCTGCCGGCTTGTGGAGCTCTGGGATGGAAACCTTTCCACCCGGTTCTCCCCAGCGGCAGCTCTGCGCATCTCAGATCGCAGCGGCTGCTGGCTTGTGGAGCTCTCGGAGACCTCTGTGTTCCACCCGGTTTTACCCAGCGGTCAGCCCGGCGTATCTCTAACTCAGAAGCTCTGGTGAGTTAACTCCGGT